GTCAAAGGTCAAGGTCATAAATAAGCAAAGTCTGTCTGTTAAAACACTTTCGTTTCCACACGATATCTCTAGAACCATTTGAGCTATTGCAATGAAATGTGGCCTAATGAAGACCCCTATTGATTTTGAGGACAAAAGGTCAAAGTTCAAGGTCGTAAATTTATACATTCTGTCTGTGTGTAATACTATCATTTCCGGGTGATATTTCAAGAAGATTTTGAGCTTATGCAATGTAATTTTATATCAAAACTCCCTAGGACGTCTCTCGCCCCTCTCAAAGTGCCCCGCCCCGTTTGTTTTATTAGTATTTATAGTATTACATGTCGCTATTTTTAGCGCAGGGACATGAGGAGAGTTGTTGCGTATAAAACAGGTTCTCGGTGGACTTTATGTTCTTATTTCATCTATTAGAACTGTTTAATAAAGGCTAAATAAATCAAACACCATGGATTGTGTAAAATCTTGAGAATACCGAACATGAAAACATGAATATTTACATGTATGTGACTTTAGTTCTGCATATACTTCATATTGCGTAAAGTGACTCCGTGGTCCAGTGGTCATGTCTCTCGCTTCAAATTTGAGAGGTCCCGGGATCGAATCTCGGTCGACCCTTTCTTTTTTTTTACTAAATGATAGTATTCAGCATGTGAAATGAAAAATTTATGAAGTTATAAAATCATTATTATAGTGTGATAAATATTCCATTTAAAAAGAATCTTCTATACACATAATAAAGAATAAGCAATCAAATCTTTATATGCATATTGACATACATGTATTTTATTTGCTTCAGTAAACATGTATACATTTAATAATTCTACAAATTTCATTATTTACAACTTAAGTCAGGGGGATCCGACGCACCCCCACCCCTTCCACGAACTGCGCATATTTTACTTTTTCCCTAAGCGGGGGACACACATTCTCTGAATTAGCTTGTTTTTTTTAAATGGTTTCAATAGCTTAGAACGATGACTTTACAACTGCATCAAAAGAGGACTTAGGAGAATGAAATTACGGCGCAACTTGTATCTAGAAAACTGCGGATAAGAGGCAAATACCTTACAAATTGTTTCAGATTTATTACAGAAAAGGTGTATTAATCGGGTCTTCTGATTTTATGGCCGTGTTTTTCTTCACTGGAGAAGAGTAGCTGTTTCCCTATGTAAGCTAGGATAACACTGAAATTCTTGACAGCGTCAAAGAAATCAAATATAAGTAATAAATAAAGACAATTCAGTGAACATGACATTTATATATAGCAATTGCTCTGCTGTAATATTCTATTATGCGCACTAATGCGCATCATGTGATATGCTATATGCCAGCAAAGCAATTACAATTCTTAATGGCCAAGTTCACTGAATGACATATTTAATTTCTTAAATAAATAATTTTAATAAAAGCTTTCTGATACATTTCCAATACTTGTTGCCTCCCATGCCATTTTAAATAGCCCTCACTTACTTCAGACATAAACACAGTTGCACGCGAAATCAATGTAGAATCAAAATTATTTGAACATTTGAGAACTTGTATATTACATTTTGAGAAAATCGGAGAGAGCATTGCAAACTATTTATCTACAGAATACTTACAAATAAATCAGTCTGTAGTTTGTAATAAACATTTCTCTACTCAACGTTGTTATTCGATTTCCACGTAGATCACTTTTTTAATTGAAAAAAAAACTGTTAACATTCAATTCAATTTACTGTCACTTTTACAAGGAGATAGAAAATTGAAGAAAGATAGAGCACGTGAAGATAGCTGCTCACGAGAAATGATTTATTCTTCTGAACTACATGTTTTCATAACGTTTACACTAATAGACAGAAATAAAGAGCTTGCTAGGTTGCATGTCTGACCCGTTTATCCAAATTGTTTTCCCTTCGATTTTTTTAAATGACATAAAATAAAATTAAAGCTGAGTTTAATTTTTTTTTTGTTACTTTGAGTTGATGTCACATTGATTTAAATGATACTTACAGTTCAACTAATTCATATAATTGGGAAAAGGATTTGGTATCTATTCTATCTATCCAGTTATTTCTTAGAGACCTGAGAAATATATCAAAATGTTTTATTTTAACGAAAATGCCCCTCATTCCTAAAGGATGATTTTACTTTTCCTCAATATTTACTTACAATGATTCCAAGCTAGTTAAGTCATAAAATACTCGATCACTTATGTAGGTTAGGATGTTTGTATTCAAATATCTACAAAACAATTCTATAAGTGAATACTACAACTCAAAAAAAAAAACATTGGTTATTTGATGCTTATATTATTTTTTTTTAGTGATTTCTAGTAAGCTTATTGAAGATATTTAACTCTTTGTTTACACATAATACATGTACCTATTTGAACTTACAAAGTTTTGAGACTTTCTAGCCGACGAAAAACATGACTTTCAATCAATCTCACTGGATTCCCACCAAGACTTCTGAGAGAGAAGATTTTAAAAAGATATTTGTAAACTTATATCTATTCGTGAATTACATGAGTATCTTTTTTTAACATAATTATTCAGATCACCACCAACATGAATAAAAACTTACAAAAACTGTAATTTTTTCAGCCCAGTGAATGAAGTATCGTATGTCGTATTAATTATGTTATAAGCAAGGTCACTGAAAGCAAAATATCTTTCTTTAAGTGCGTGATCAAACACAAAGCAAATTATTTTATGAGACTTGCAATGTTTATTATGTTTTACTTGATTGAGAAATATAATTTTTGTGTCCTGAGAAACAGGAAAATATAAGATATATCTACAAAGAAGACATATAACTACGTACAAAAAAATTACATGATATTTTGAAAATCGCCGAGAAAAATTTCTCTATTAAAGAAATCATAAATTCAAAACAAGACTTTGAAAATTTCAAAGACAGAAAATCATTTTGGCGAGGAACCTGAATTGCATATATTTGATTTTACAGATTACGTTTTCTAATGAAGCAGTTTTAATAACTTTATGATGATAAATAAAATTACACACACATTTATCATAACACATTTTAACAGCAAAATAAAATATTCAAAAATGCAACACATATAGATTTAAATAATACAGTTTTTTTTATCTTGTTTAATATTTGCTGAAGGCCTAGACAATTTTCTGTAAACGTATTACATTTGGCTGTGTATTCTTTTTAGCAGCTTTGGCGGAACGCATCAACCGCTAAATCAAGTACAACGCTAAATGTCTCGCATATAAACAAATACATAAGAATATAAAGAAATGCGCTAAATCAAATCTACGCTAACTTATTCAAAAGTCATTTTCCGCCAAATATCGTACACGCTATATATAATACATTTACATTATATCGTACATAGAGGGTATCCATATTATGTGATTTGATATTGGCTTTATCCAACGAGTTGAAATGGTGTATATATTCGTGAGACTTGCTTTTATAACGATATTATTGTTCTTTATCATTCATTTTATAAGAGCAATAATTTTCACAAATAAAAGTTTCAATAAAATAAAATTTTGAAGCGATGCATCGTGTCAAAACTGGAAGTGCTATTGATAAAGCAGCTACCCGAGGATAAAGCAGAAGTTTATCAAATGGGCTGTATCCCCAACACGTATGAGAAAAATTATAAAAGAAGCAGATAATAGATAAATTTAAATAATAATTATCATTCGTATTGATATGATTTTTTTAAAAATCTAGTTAAGTTGCCAATGAAAAAAGATATAATGTCTGGTTCTTTTATGTGATAGATTTTGACATAAAGGGGGATATCAAGAAAAACTGACTGCTGAATAAACAATAAATTACAATCAGAAAAACTCGGGGTTGGGGAGTTGGGTTGTCCCTGCATACCACATACATAACTGCATTTTCCCCAAATATTTTTCCTTACTTTATTTTCCTATGAGTAAAAGTCGGAATTAAGATAAATATTTTTCCAATACTATTTATAGCAATTTGAAATTTTCCGATCTATTTTTATATAAATGTAGAAAGAATATTTTTTGCAATCGCCTGGAAGCCGCTTACAAGTAAATATATTTTTTCTTTCGTTTTCAAATTTTCGTATTTATTGTAGAGTCTCAACCAATTACAAATAGAAATTATTAATTCAAATAATAATATAAAATTATTGCTGTTTTGGGTGAATAAGATAAATAAGTAGAATGGGTACAATATCCACAGAGCCCAAGGGATTGTGGTCAGCATTTGAATTAATAGATTCATAGTGTGAGTGTGAATGAAAACTAAAAATTTGCGTTCAGGAAAAAAATGGAAAAAGGAGCCCTGCCCCCTCTCCCCACTTAGACAAACATAACTACTCTAACCCAAATACTATTTTCCGTAATATTATTTTCGCCTCGATTGATATCTGTAGCAAGTTAAATATTTTTCTAAAACTATATTGATTTGGAATTTCCTGATGTATTTTTAAATCACAACAGAGAAAATAAATCTTTATATTTATCTGTAAGTTCACGTGCAGGTAAATATAACGTAGTATTTTTATACAATGTTGGATCTCAGTCAATCACAGAGACAGGAATTTTTCAATCATTATTCAGATAAAAAAATATTAACAAAACGTAATTGTCTTTGCGTAAAACCTTGATTTTATTTATTTTGAACGGATATGTATGTCAATGTATGTATTATATATTGATTTACACATTGTATTAGAAATCTAAATGGGTGATTTAAAAACCTCGTTTACTGATTAAGAAAAATAGAAAGGAAAATCTGTAGTGAATGTGAATAATCTTACTTTGCATTAATAAGACATTAAAGCTATAAACGCATACATGTAATACGATAGAATAGTTTAAATAGCTCCGTTAGCGATTTGATTTGCATTAATATGTGTGAATTTCATTAAGATATATAACTTTTACAAGATATTGTTTTGCTATTTGAAGCTTGATTCGTTATCCTAAGAAAAAAGCAATGAATTTACAGATACAAAAATCTTGAATTGTCTGTAAACATTCCTTTACCTAACACAGTTATCCGAAAGCGTCCTACAGTACCGACCTAACACAACCATCAGAGACAAGGCCAACAAAACAACTAGTGTAGTATTCCTGACAGATGCCCTATCTGTATTGCAAGCCATTAACAACGGTAAACTCCCAGAACTTGAACAAGATGTACACAACATCGAAAGCCTTCAAACAGCATTACAATGGATACCATCTCACTGCAGAATCAAGGGAAACGATAATGCTGATCTGCTAGCAAAGGAGGGAGCCAAAAAAAAGCAATATGAAAACCAAGTAGGCTTCTCAGAGATGAAAACCATCATCACATCTCTACACACAACCCCTCAACAACAAGACAGCTATCACCAACTTGCTAGACCTGAGCAGACGACCATCTTCAGACTTAGGACAGGACACAATAGACTCAACCAACATCTGCATAGAGTCATGAAAGTCATACCATCACCGATGTGTCCATGTGGAGAAGCTGATCAGAATACAGAACACCTCCTACAACACTGCAGAATACACCAGGCACTGAGAAACAACACATGGCCAACACCAACAACGCTACAAGAGAAGCTTTATGGACTAGTGGAAGCCCTACAAAAGACCACCAGATTTGTAGAGGAGACTGGGACTCAAGTGTGATTAGGCGAACAAAAAGAAGAAAGAAGAAGACACAACCTAACAGAAAGCGAACTCAGAGCGGATCCATGGTTCGCTCTCAGGGTCCGCTTCGGGCATGCTCGGGTCTGCTAGGGCTGACCCCGAGCGAACCCGTAGCGGACCCGGAGTGAACCCGAAGCGGACCCAGAGAGTGGATCCCAAATTCGGTAGCGGTCCCAGAAAGCGAACACGCGTTTGGCATTTCTTTACAGAGCTCTCAATCAGGATTAGCGATTAATCAATCAGCGCGTCGACCAATCAAATTTGCATATCAATCCGTCGATTGGAATAAAAGATCGAATGTTTGATATTATTTGATATAAATCCAAACATTGTACATACAAGCAAACCGTGTGAATGTACAGTGTAAACCTATAATTACAATTTTTTATTTTCCGAAATGTACAGTATATTTTTTTATTCATTTTTTGATTGCTTTATCGATAAAAGTAAATAGAGAAAACGTTATGTAAGAGAAGGTGAAACTCAAAGGTTTAAAGGTTAAATTTAGAGGTACCCTAAGAAAGGTATTGTCACAAGGACTGCACAAATGAAATATGAAAGCAATAGCTCCACTAAATCAATGGTTGAAATTTTTAAGGACAAACAGACAGACGGACGAACACGACAAAAACTATTGATTCAACTCGTTTATTAAGAAATGATTATTCGAAATTTTATCATAAGACATCATGAATTATAAGTATAAAATTTTATTTAATATACAACTAAGATGTATTATTGCATTGTCTTTTCATTTAATATTTTGACCGTTAAAATCTTAAAATAAGCTGAATTCAAAACAAAATTTTTCTTCACAAATATTAATCTTGTATGAGAATATTTATATTTTCTCCCATATTGATATTATTTGATAATGGAATTTTATGAAGAGACTTACTTTTACAATTGACGACTGACTTTTACAATTTAAACATAGACAAACTCCAATCACTAAAATGTAAAAGTCAGCTGTCAAATGTAAAAGTAAGTCTCTTCATAAAACTCCAGTATCTGTACTTACAGTTTAACTAAATTGTTCAGATGGGAAAACGCGTTGGTATATATTCTACTTATCCGGTTATGTTGTAGATACCTGAGAAACAGATTAAAAAAGCTGAGAAAATTATCGAATTAAAACATTTGAACAAAAGACTACATGATAATATCGAATTTATGAACAAAAGACTACATGATAATAACGAATTTATTCTAGAATGTTTCTCAAAAGAATAACTTACAGAGAATCTAGGCTAGTTAATCCAAGAAAGGAATCGTCTTTAATAAAGGTTAAGATGTTGCCATCCAAATATCTATAAAACGATATTCTATCAAAAAAGGCTTAATAATAAAGCAGTTTTCTTTGTTTGCAGATAGAATTGTTATGTTTCTGATCTGATTCTTATAAACAAATAAACCATTATTTTATTGAGCACATTTATATATTTCTAAAAAACTTATTTAGACTCACAATGTTTTGAGACTTTGCAGCTCATGAAAAGCACAACTTTCAAGCAAAGTAATTGTATTCCCACTGAGTGTTCTGAGAGAGAAAAGGTACGAATTAAAGTCATATTTTGACGATAACTTATCCCTGACATTATTGAGTACTTGTTTTCTTTGACAAAGGAATAGAATTTAAGAGATGTATTGATACTTACAAGTCACGTAATCCATGCAGCCCAGTGAGTGACGTTTTGTTTATCACACTTATGTTATTTTCTGATAAATCACTAAAAGCAAAAGAGGCTGAATACTAGTAATCAAAAATAAGATGAATTATAAGAATTTTTAAAAGATTCAAGTTCAACTTGTTAAATAGTTCTCTTTATTATATTCTATAAATAACATACAAAAAATGGATGCCTGGATTGGTATATATATTTTTTGGCCTAATTTTATTGTAAATGATGCAAATAATAAATTTCTAAATTATTAAGAATCTATAAACCTTCTGTGACGTTCAAAGGATGTCTTTCCGAAACCATCCTTATAAATTTATACAAATATTTTTCACTTCAATTTGGTTTAACTTTGAATAAAAAATTAAAAACTACGTGGTGAATCTTATTCATTTTACGCATTTAAACTTTCCCAAGTTGTTTTTTTTTTTCAATTTTTGAATCACACCAAAGTACTTACCATTCTATCAAGCAGATAAACTTTTTTTTTGTTCTAATAATTTGATAATAAAAAAGATATGGAGCTCTTGGATCATTCGATTATGTACGTTAATGGTTTCTTGAGGAATAAAAAGCACCCATCTTCATGAGTTTTATGTAGGTGGTTTGCAATACGGTGGTTTCCCCAATTGCTACATCCTACACCCTGAATATGATCAGTTGTTGCTTAGGGACAGATGATACAAACATGAAAATGGATGTCAGGATTAATGTTTGTCATTGGTATATTTTATACAATAATTACAAATAAATAGTGGACATTCAGATACCCGGACGTATATTTTATACAATAATTACAAATAAATAGTGGATATTCAGATACCCGGACGCCAAAGATACGGACGCTTCTATTTTTCATCGGAACAGAGATTTTCAAAAATTATTTTGTTTTATCTAACTGGTAGGTATCCGGACTCTTCACACATCCGGACAAATTGACTAGGAACCAAAGTGTGGATAAATGAGTCTTCATTGTGAATAAATTTATGCAAATATCAAACTCTTTAAGATATATAAATTGTTCAGTTTATTTAATGTTAAAATTTCAGCAGTGTACCTTTCTGCAAACCTTCTCTCCAAATCTCTACACAGAATTTCTTTAATATTTTTGTTATACTCTCAATACAAAAATTAAAACATACGCACTTAAAATCATCCGTTCTCTTCAGGTTTAATTACTGTGATATTGATTATAGAGTTTAAATTGTTTGTATCATCTGTCATTAACCGCGACACTGATAAAATAAATCAAGGACATACTGGAAATCTGGAGAAATCGCGGAAAAATTTCAACACTCGCAAACATTGCATACTACGGTTTAAATCAATAATTTCATAAATCATATACATGTAATTTGAATTTAGTTGTAAAGCGTCATTTAATGGATAGAAAATTTATCTAAATTGTATAACCTGGGTTGCCAAAGTCACCTTGACTCTCGTCAAAACGCTTGCTGTTACGTTTAAGATTTGAACAATATGAAAACGTTTTAAGGGACCAACAGGGGGTTTCCATTGCGCAATACGTCGCGCTTCATACATGTAGTAAACTACAGCGTATTTACACATATTTTAAAGCAACTTTTTTCTCACATATCAGCGGCAAGGCCATGTCCTTTTACATTTTCCCCGTACATTTAGAGTAATAAAAATACTGTTTCCAATCATGTGATCCTTACTCGTATTTCAAAAAGAATGAATGTATTCCTTTTTGCATAAAAAGATACTAATATATAGGGTCTATAACAAGATATTACCAAACAGACCTAAATAATTAAACTAAAATAGATATTAGCTGATCCGAATTTTCTCTTCTTTTCTCAAATTTTTAGAATATACAAGTTATATTTAAATTTTTCTCAATTTCGAATATAGTAAGGTTTAGTATAGTAATTAAGATACAAAATGATGCAAACACAAAAAGTTTTTATCTTTTACTTAGAAAAAAAAATAACACTTCTATGGATTATTGGCTCAAATCCATGATTAGATTTGACGCATTTAAAAGCCGACATAGTTTAAGATTGTTTGAAAAATCTTATTTATTTGATACATTTTGAAAATTTAGTCTGTTATTATTAATTTAACTTAAATTTGAAAATTTCTTCAAGTCCTTGATTGTGTAAATATTAAAACTAAATTCATTGTTTTATATTAATTTTGAGAGGCAGAAAAGATATTTTCATACACCACCATTCCGCCAAAAATATAGTCCCTGCTATTTTTAAACGCAGTTTACCATTTCTATTTAAAGTTGTACAATTGTGACGAGGAAAGAGAAGTATAGTCTTTTAAATCTCCTACACCTAAATAAATAAGACATATAAGCTTATATATTTGACTATTCATCTAGTCAGAAACCAAAGAAAAATCCTACCTTTATTAACAAATTTAACAGAAGTAAAAATTTACAGGTTGAAAAATTTAATTACAATTCTATAACTGATTTTTAAAAACGATTTCTCAACTGATAGGTAGATTGATCTGTGTTTTTGACTTTCTGCTTAATTGAATCTCTAAAAGAAGGGAGAATGAAATGTTATAAAAGAAAGAGTATTTGACATATTCTCTGTAATTCAAAACATAGCAATTTGAGAATCTCCTGATCATTTTTTATTATTCTTAGTACATATTCCTTGTATCTATCATATTTTGTAATACCCCATACAAAAACATTGATTGATTGTATATTGTTTAACGTCCCTCTTGGGAATTTTTCACTCATATGGAGACGTCACCGTATGCCGGTGAAGGGTTTCAAATTTTGACTTTTACTCAGCACTCAAGACAGTGAGGGATCTTTATCGTGCCAACGCCTGCCGCACGGGAGCTCGGTTTTTAAGGTCTCATCCGAAGGACCCGCAACTTACATGTACATTTCCAAATGCTAAGCGCATGGCGAAGGTACAGTTGCTTCCCATTTTAAAGACTAGGTCAGTCGCGGCCGAGATACGAACTCACGACCACCCGATCACAGAGCGAGCGCTCTACCGACTGAGCTACCGTGAACGGTTCATACAAATAGAAAAATCGTTATTTTTTAGCATTTTTAAAAAATGCCCAATATGCAAACCAGACGGTAGAATTTTGTGTTTCGTACATATGATTTACAATATTGTGTTACTCATCATATGTAATAATAAGAGCAAAAAGTCTTTTGCATTATTTTTTGATAATTTGCTTTAAATTGCAAAAATTGACACTTTTCGATTTAATCGTATAGTAAATATACCGGTATTTTGAGACGGTCCCATAAAATACGTAGACGGTAGATTTTTCTTCAAACTTGGCATGTGCCAT